GGAAAGGGAAACACCATACCTAGCTAACCTATGAGCTTCAAAATTTGAAGTTCTTGACTCAAAAACAAAATTACAGGCCGTGAAAAAACTCGTAGTTTCTGTCACCTCTCTAATTATGCTCGCATAATTGCCTCCAACTCCTTGCTTGATATGTGAGATGACTTGTTTACAATCTGAAGCCACCTGAATACTCTGCAAACTCAAATCCCTTGCCAATGCTTGAGCTTCCCGACACGCCAAAGCTTCTACTGTAGCTGGATCCGTTGCTCCTTGAACAACCAGAATAGAAGATCCCATATAATTACCTTCCCGATCACGGCAAATCGCAGCAGCAGTGCCCACATTGTGATCTAAGGGAATACCCCCATCGGCATTTAGCTGATCAAGTTCAGCTATAAAATTTGTGATAGAGAGGTGTGTTGACAGCGGGCTCTTGTGTAACCCCTCATGTATGAACTGCCTTCGCGCATACCAGATTGCCCAAAGCGTAACACCCATCCGTGTCAACTCATCGTGACTTAGCACTTCCATCATCAAGAACAACCAAGAGCATGTTGTTGGTTCCGTTGTTTCGATCATATGCTCTAGCAGTTCCGGATCCACCAAAGCCCATACGCATCTCGCCATGCTACATTCAATCAAGCTGTGCTTCCAAGAATCTGCCATTCCACATACATAGCATCTATCATGTGTCTCCATGTTTCTCTTGTTTCTGACATCTTATGTGGGGATTGAGTTATGTGCTAGTCTCCATAAGAAGTTCCTGATTTTGGCTGGTACAGCAACATGCCAAAGTGTCTCCCAAGACTTCTCATTCTGAGTTGTATTCGATGGACCAGGTCGCTCCTCCAGCCAGTCCTCTCGCCGTTTTTTTTGTAGCAACAATCATCTTGTACGCCGACCGCACCGTGAACAGGCCGTTCTTCTCAAAACCCCATGACCAGAAATCATCCATGTTCCGTGTGCACACTGGAATCTGAAGAATAGTTGTGGCGTCACTTGGCAAAAGGACTTGTTGAATCTTTTGCACATCCCAACATGCATTCAAAGGATCCAGTAGCTCAGCCACCAACTGTGGGGGACTCTGAATAAGAGAGGTAATAGGGCGCATTTTTCTGGCCGCAGGATCCAATTCATCTCCCAAATGCTGGTGGTGCTTCCATTGCCAATTCTTCTGATTAAACCTTGTTTCAGTATATCTCGGCCCTCAAAAACTGGTCTCCAGATTTGTGAGGGATGGTTCCCCAATTCAGCATTGAGAAAATCTGAGTTCGGATAGTAAACTCCCTTCAATATTCTCGCACTCAGAGACTCCGGTTGCTCCAGAATCCTCCACGCCCGCCGCGCCAAGAGAGCCAAGTTGAAGATCTCGAAATCTCGGAAGCCCAAACCTCCCATGTACTTGGGCATGCACATAGTATCCCAAGATACCCAATAGGGTTTCCTCTTCCCGCTCTTGCTGCCCCACCAAAAAGCCTTGATCACTGAAGTTAAGCTCTCACTGCGTTCGCTCGTGTAGGCAGGCCGGCTGGTTGGATCTGGGCCGTCCGCAGGCCGCTTGTCCAGCGTGGTTATGCTCCAATAGCCTACGTTTATTGTGTGCCTTGATTTTCTTGTCTTTATTTATTTCTGAATTGTCTAAAAAAATATTTCTGAAGATTCCCAAAAAATAAAAATCTCTGCGAACCGTAGAATGCCGCGCAGATAGGAGTTACAAAAACTGACTCACAAGGAAACTCCAAACCGACTTAAGTTGAGCTTTCCTATTCTACTTGCACCCGTAGGCTACCAGCAGAAAGGCGTCAAACAGTTTTCTAGACTACTCCCTGTGTAAAGAATACTCCCTCCGTCCTAAAATAAGTGTCTCAACTTTGTACTAATTTCAGTATAAAGTTGTATTAAACAACGTTGAGAAATTTATTTTTTTAAGGAGGGAGTAATAATCAACTAGCAACGCTGATCACATTAGTACTAATCCTAACCGAACACTCTTTGGCGACCTCTTTGATTTGTGATTTTATTTATCCCCTATTCTTGTGAGTAGGGTTTAGACTTCCTCCGGCAGTGAACTTGTTGTGAGTTTCAATCTTCAATCTCCAGTGATTCCTCTAGACCTTGACCGATCGGTCGGATGCGCATGCTGCATCTGCTCAGTGACCTTGGTTTGCTAGGGGTCTCTTTCTCCCTTGATGAAACCTTAGGTTTCGAGGGATCACGAGCCATCATGAAGCATATGGATCGGGTCATGGTAAAGAACCAGTGGAGGAATTGTTAGGCGAGGATCCATTGGGACCGAACATGAATCAAATAGCGAGCTGGCGCCATAACACGCTGTTCAAATAGGCATGGACATGAGAACAACCAGTGAAACAATAACAGTTCTTCTCAGGCTGCTAGGATGGGAAATCTACTTGGAATTATATGTGTGTTTGATTTTAGTATCTGGGAATGTTGTAGAAATAAATAAACCTTGCTCTTGTCCCTGTGAAAAATGTAACATCTTCAAATGTTGCTAAGATAGTTGAAAGATTTGAGAGTGATGGTGAACCCAGCACGTCTTGAAAGATTTGAGGGTGATGGTGAACCCAGCACGTCGATCCGACCAACACTCCTCAAAAGAATGCACACACACAAAGCAAAGCAAAAAGGATAGAATGGGGAAGCAACGAACAATGGGGTGGAATTGGAAAAGGATGGGATTGGCGGCCTCCCTCGAGGATAGAGCCGTAAGCATGGTGGGGTTGCCAGTGCTTAGGCAGTGCCCCATTATTCATGATGTTGGAATGAATTCGGTGGATCATCCTCATGGTGGTGTGGGGCGCACAAAAGGAGGTAGGCAAGGTAGGTCTTCGGTGTCACCTTGGTGAAAGCTCACCAAACAGGATTTTGGGCAGTAGTAAGGCTGGTGAAACTTTAGATGTCAAATGACACCAATTTTCTTCTCAACTTAGAATGTAGTTTTGCGAAGTTAATTAGCCAGTTCCTTATAAAAGGTCTCTTTTAGCAAAAACAGACGGGTTTATTAATCAATCGAAGTGTTTACATTGATCACTAAGACTAGCCACAAATGGAGAGTAACTTAGACAAGTAACGTGCATATGTTACTAGTCTATGTTACTACCTCTATAGTGGGGAATAAATGAATTAGGGCGTAGCCGAAGGCAATGGTCCAACTTGTGTGAATGGATTTCATTTTTTTTAGGTTCCACTATTTGTTCGATAGCAAGCAAACTCTCCCAATTTAGGACCTTCAGTGATCTTACAACGAACATTGTAAATGACAATCAATGAATTCTTGTGAAATAGATATGTGTAGTATCATGCAACACTTTATTTATTAGGTTTCTTGCCTTGGTATGTGTAATGTCACTCATACTACTAGTAACTAGCTATGTTACCACATGCCTCTCTTTCTTTATTAATTGTTTGCCACATCATCTATTTTATCTAGATATATGTGATGTTGGCACCTATGTCACTCTCACTGTGGGTTGTCTAAAGAATCATGGGGGTTGCCCAACCAAACGTGTCTCCCTGGAGTGCGACAGACACCAAATCTAGCTAACCTATGAGCATCGACATTCAAGCCTCTGGATTCATGAATAAAGTTACAAGAAATAAAAGAATTTTCCTGATCTCTTTAATAATTTCTTCAAAGCTTCCTCCACACCCTTCTAAATGTAATCAACAACCAGTTTGCGGTCTGAAGCCACAAAAGGGTGACAAATTCCTAGATCGTCCGCCAATGCCAGTGCTCCTCGGCACGCTATTTCTTCAACTGTCGCCGGGTCTAGAAGGCCCTGAATAACCAACAGTGATGATCCAAGATAGGTGCCATCACGGCGCGACATATTGCAGCAGCTGCACCAACATCATGATCGTGAGAGACCCCTGCATCGACATTGAATTAGCGCACCCTTCGGGTGGTGGTCCCCATCTTGGCACAACTACACTCATCGGACGGGCTGGTCTTGCTTGTGGCACTGTTGGGACGTGAATCTGTTCCAGCTCGGCGATGTGTCTACTCATGAACAAATGAGGTTTTTTTTTCCGAGCCAAACGAACAAATGAGTTGACAAGGGACTCTGGTTAGAGTGGATATAATTGATATGAGGATTTTTTTTTTTATCATGTCATAATATTTGGCAGATTTCGAGGCCCAAAATAACAATCCATCGGCCTGAGCCCAGTGAAGCAGCCCGCTCCCATTACTATCTCTCCTTCGCCTAAAGAAAAAATCACTTCCTCTCCTAACCGCAGAGGGGGGGACGCGGACGCCAGCTAGCCCACTCCCATGTCCCATCACGCCGCCGGCCGGCCGGCCGCGCAGTCCCCTCCCCTCACCGGCTCGCCTGTTGGGCGTCCGTAGTCCGCACCATCGCTGGCTCCTCCGCGGGCCAGACCGGCACTGCCGATCTGCCGTAGCAAGTTAAGCAAGGTACAATTGACCTTCCTGCAGATCTGGGAAGATGAAGCTGAATAAAATCGATGCATACACTGCTCCTGCTTATACTGCCACTGTCAACTCATGTTCATGCTAGCCATACAATTGATGTCAATTCATGTTCGTGTCACCTCGCCATTGATGCAAATCATGCAATTCTGCTTACTGCTTATATGCAATTGAATAATTGATGCCATTGCTTCCAAATTCGCACATTCGGAACATATTTCCTCAACTGGTATGTTGTGAGATTTGATTGAGCTGTTTATGTTATTCTTTTGCCGAATATTGAGCTTATGTCAAGGATGGTGGTATTTACAGCTTAAATTTTCCGCAATTTTTCACTCAAGGCTGCATATGTGTTTCCCTTTCCTGATCTGTATGCTTTTACATATAAGGTTTCATTGTGTGATTGCCAACATGGTTGCTTCAATTCAAATCGTTTCATGTCTTCTTGTGTATCAAGGATTTTTTGAAATGTGTATTACCTGTGATTTTGATTATTTAGCATTGCCCTTGCCCTTTGTGGATTCATGCAGCCGTCCTGCTTGATGAAATGTCGGCATCAACATCCATTCCCTGTGGTTCAAAGAGTGCGGGAGGCAACGGGAATGGTGTTGACAGGCTCAGCAGCCTGTCAGACGATCTGCTCCACCATGTGATGTCCTTCTTGCCGATGCCGGAGGTCGTGCACACAAGTCTTCTCTCACCAAGATGGCGCTTTCTTTGGTGCTCTACACCATTCATCCGCATCGACAGCGAAGACTTCATGGATCAGTGCAAGCTGGAGAAGTTCGGGGACCGCTTGCTGCTCTTGCGTGACGGTACTATTTCCTTGGATGAAGCCCGAATCCATGCCTACCGTGCTGATAGTGCCACGTGTTCCGCATGGATTCGTCATGCCATTATGCACAAAGTTCGCCTCCTTCATATTTCTGGGTTTCTCCGTTTGGATAGCACAGCAACGTTTCCTTCTCGGCACCTCAAAATAATCAGGCTGCAATCTGTCACGTTGAAACATGGGTTATTTAGGCCATTGAACTACGACTGCCCTGTTCTTGAACATTTAGAGCTGGAGTTGTGCAGTGTATGTGACCATGAGGAGATCTCATCAAGCTCAGTCAAGGTTCTGGATGTCAGTCACTGCCTCATTATCTCCAGTCTCCTGATTTGTGCTAGGAACCTTACCCATCTCTCTATCCTTCACCCATATGCTGGTGCTATAGTAACTAGGGGTCTGTCTTCTCTGGTGACAGCTTTGATTAATCTAAGGCCTAAATCTTTTCATCATATGGGCACAGTAATGGATCATCATCTACTTGACGGCCTTCCGCATGCCACAACGTTGGAGCTGCATGCGCCATTGCATGAGGTAAGGATGTTTTTTTCTTCTCTTCTTACCCATACAAGTGTAGGTGAATGTATTTATTTGCTTTGCTGCACTTGAACTTGTTGTACGGACGTGGTGAAAGCCTATTTCGAGAGAAAATGTATTTGCTTGTCTAGTTAGTCTGCTTCTGGGTTCAAAGTTAAGGGACGGCCTTCTTTTTTTATACTGACAGTTTCCCCTTGTATATGTTAGTATTATATTTTCTTTGCAACACTGTAACATGTTCCTTTCGTGTCTGATGGATGAATTTGAAGCGCGCATTTGAGGGAGGTATGCTAACATGCCCAGCATTTAGCAACCTGACAAGCTTGGTGCTGGGTGATTGGGTCATGACTGCTGACTTCTACCCATTGCACCGCATTCTCCAGCTCTCAGACAAGCTGAAGGACCTAACTTTGAAGCTCGAAATGGTACTTACTCAAAAGTATATGTCCAAGTACCAATTGGTCTGCTAGAACTCTTACTAACACTACCACCTTCGTGTTGATATTCTGCAGGAGGAATGCAGCACATGCAAAGCCTTGCCGCCAACAAGGAGAGCGCCGACGTCGGCCTCAGGCAGCTACCCTTGCATCGAGAGGATCAAAATCTACTGCCGGAAAGAACATCTGAGGGTCGATGAGTTGGTGCAGGCGTTGCTGCTCATTGCCGGCAATGCGAAGATCAGCATCGAGCGTCGGCCCTGATCCGTGCTAAGCAAGACCTCGTTCGCAAAATCGGCGCAGTATATGTACCGTTCGCTGAAACATTTTATAGGTTTTTTAGCCAAATATTTTATTGTTCTTCTCATGTTGTGCCTGTGTGCATCACTCTTGTGAAGTTCAGTGAACTTCAGTCCATGCCTTTGCAGCAACGATGCCCAGACCTGGAGCGTTGCCTTGTCCGGACAACGGCTGAGAAAAGCTTTTGGAATGTGAACATGAGCTTCCGAATTATTAGCGAATTTGTGGTTCCCCAGTTATATTAGCTATCAACTCCCAGTCTTCCACAAAATAAATTATCTAGCGTTTGACTAGCTATCTTTCAACTTTGATGTGATGGGGGCAAAAATGAGCAGTTGGCCTCTGTAAAAAATATTATGGGCTTTCACTTTGTACATTAAAGAGTTCCCTTGTGCTTTTGGAAAATGCATTACTGATGTGTGGGTAATTTTTGTACCTTAACACATGCAAGACCTCATTGCGAATTTAGCTATCCAGTGGCTAAGAGCATCTACAACCTGAATTTACAATTTATACATCATTATAGGTTATAAGGGAAGAAAACAGCGACTGAATAGCTCACTGAAAGGAAACAGAGCTCTACTTCAACCACCTAAAGCAAAATTCACAAGATATTTTTCAAGAGAGATGAACTACAGGGAGAAAAATGTAGGTTGCATGCCAGTGAAACTTAGGAGAGCTAGAATTGCAATGCTGATTGGGCAATGCAAACATAAACACCTGGAAGAAAAACTATTTGAAACTCGGTTGAAAAATTAGAAGCGCAAATTACTTTTCAAAATGAATAATAATGGCCTTTATTTCTGTTCAAATATCTTCACTCAAACACAAAACTGGCAAAATTCAGCAGGCGCATGATCATGAGTAAATTTAACTGAAACCAAAACAGAAGAGAACTGAACTTATACTTGACTGAACAAACAGAATACATCACACCAGCAAAGCATTGATAGCATGGGAATGGAACCTTAACCGTCTTACTTAACTGGTGAAATGGTGGCCATCAGTTGGCATCACAAATAACCATGCAAGGCTGCTATATATGCATGCAGGTTAATTAACAATACGATTACACTGACAATTAATTTTCTTCATTTTACCAGCAGCTCGAGCTCGCCCTAACTACCAAAGTCTACTACTAAAGTACTAGTTAAACCAAATGATGCTAATTAACACATGGCTCCTTCTTTCTGCCAGAAGCAATGCAAGAGATCCACTGAGCACAAAAGAACATCATCTGGGGGCGATTGAGGGCTCCATGGACCACAAGTGTGACCTGAAGGAAGCAGATGGTGCTAGACGATGGAACGCCTTTTCTGGCTGCCTCCTGACTGTGCCAGATGGACCTTGGAGCAAGGCTGCGAAGGTTTAGTCGCGGTGGTGCCATCTTTCTTCTTGGGGATGGAATGGGGCTCGAAGCCGGGTGGGCCAGCCCAAGGTACCACTGGCGGAGGAGGAGAGACCGCCGCATGCGCATGGAGGGGCTCAAAGCCAGGCGGGCCGGCCCAGCCTGCTGAAGGCTGCCGCTGAGAGCTGTCGGCGACATGGCTTGACACAGGAGACCAATCCCTTTCAGCAGCAAATGATGAACTGGCTGACACAGATTCAGGCAGCTGAGACGTTTGAGAAGCAGCAGCATCAGTTCCCTGCCCCCGATAATTCTCTGCGTAAGCTGATTCAGCAGAATAGCACGGCGGCCAATACGACGATGTTGGCACTCCAACCGCCATGGTAGAGGGGTCAGGGACTTTGAACTGGGAGTAGAGACGCGCCATGTAGCTGGCCATGTCACTCGGATGAACATTGGCTATTCTGACGGCCAAGATGTGCCCCTCCAGCGGGTAACCGTTCATGTAACTCAGAGCCGCAGCAGCAGCATAAGTATCGGCGAATTTGACGAATCCGAATCCCTTGCTCACTCCGGTGTGCCGGTCAACGACTACCTTTGCTTGAGTGATTTGGCCGCATGGCAGAAAGATCTCGGTCAGCCTTTCGGTGGTGATATAGAGCGGGAGATGGCCTACATATAGGTTGGTCAAGTCTGCCTCTTTCTGCTCATTGCCAGGAGGCGCCTGTGGTGCTGCTAGACATTCCACCCGAGGCATTATATTAGGAAGGCCTGCTACTCTCACAGCCAGGGTACTTGCTCCGATTCGGTAACCATCCATTTGATCAATTGCAGCAGCAGCAGATGAAGGATCGCTGTACCTGACCATGCCGTACCCAAGAAACATCCTAGATTGCACAATTTTTCCAAATGGCCGGAAAAGCTCGACCAACTGATCGCCAGTTACCGTTGGTGGGAAGCCGCCAACATACAAGTTGGCCATGTCAATTTCTCTTGTGGGCTTGCCGCCAGCTGACTGTGATGATAAAGGAGCATGCCCTGCTGCAGCAGTTGGACAAGAATCTGATCGCTTGACTACTAGACTCTTTCCACCAATCAGGTACCCATCCATGTGTTCAACAGCCGTGGTCACTGATGCTGCATCTGCATAGTACACTAGGCTATACTCCAGATTGATCACAACCTTGCTGATCTTACCAAAGGGCACGAAAAGCTCAACCAGCTTATCAGCGTTCATCGACCGCGGAAGGTTAGCGACGTACAGTCTAGATTTCTTCATTTCCAGCGAGGGAGTTGGTGAGCCTTGTACAACTGAGCTGGATGCAAGTGGTGAAAGGCCCGCGACTCTGACAATTAGAGTTTCCCCTTCAACCAGTGATCCATTCATTAGTGCAATAGCCTCGGCAGCACATTGAGAATCGGCAAATTTGACGAAGCCATAGCCTTGGTCCGCAGCCACTCTCGCATGGGTAATCTTACCAAATGGCGAGAAAAGCGCAACCAGCTTATCTGTGTCAATGGATGCAGGAATGTTGCAGACATATAGATTCGCCATGTCGATTTCCTTGATGGTTCTGGTTGAAGAGACCTCAGCCACTCGAACCTCTATCTTTTTACCCTCAACCAGAAACCCATTCAAATGGGTGATGGCCTGAGCTGCATGATGGGAATCAGAGTACTTCACAAAGCCATATCCTTTGCTTAAACCTGTGGCTTGATCTCTGGGTACCTTTATATCAGTTACTTTCCCGAAACGAAGAAAATGCTCGAGTAGCTTCAGAGTGTCCATGGATAAGGGGAGGTTGCTTACATACAGCCTACACGGGTCAACTTCCTTTGATGGCAGACTGCAAGTTTCTGACACAGCTTGCATGGATGGATAGAATACTGATGTTGGAGGTCCAGCTACTCTAACCTCTAATGTTTTCCCATCAACCAGGCGCCCATTCATGCGTTCAATAGCTGCTGTGGCACTACGAGGTTCAGCATACTTCACAAAGCCATATCCCTGGCTTACACCAGTGAAACGATCATCCGCCACTTTTGATCGAACGATTCGTCCAAAAGGTAGAAATAGCTCGATGAGCTTGTGAGAAGTCACAGAAGTTGGCAGGTTACCCACATACAGGTTAGTGTCATCCACTTCTTTCAGCGTGACACCGTCCTGAGGCAAAGACACTGTGTGTTCTTGCCTCTTACACAAGTGGCTGTCGTGGTCATCAAACTGAGCTTTCCTTTTCTCCAACCTGGCAGCACCAAAACTTTCAGTACTGTATGTGTAACAAGATACATCAGTAGCAAACCTGACAGACAATCGTTTCTTGAACGGCTTCAATTCAATTTCATCGGTCACTGGTACCGCCTTGTGCTCATGGCTGCTGCCCTTTCTCAGTGTCCGTTTTAAGACCTCTTCCTCATTTTGTTCCTTCTTGATAGCCTGAACAGGACTGTACTTCCTCCCAAATTCCTCCTCGCGAGCCACCTCAACATCACATGGCTCCACTTCACAGAGCTGATCTGTGAAAGGCTCCGCATAATACGAGTCCTGCTCGCCACTGTCTTCTTCTTCATAACAGAGTTCATCAACAAAAGGTTCATCATAACTGGTATCCTCATCTTCAAGTGGGGTGGCCCAATCGCAAGGCTTCTCTTCATTAGCCTCCTCTTCTTCTGCCAAAGGATCTTCGCAAGGATCCACAGCTTGTGTTTCTGGCTCACCCCCATTGCTGTCGTCATCATCATCATCATCATCGTAGAATTCACGTTCAAATGGTTCTTCTTCCTCTTCACTGCCTTCTTCATATTCAGCAGCAACAGCACTCATGCCATCCTCCTGCAGCTGGTCAGCCAGGTCACTTTTGCGCCCCATTCTTGCACCACCAACTGGTTCACATAGGAGAAGATTATTGTTTAGCAAAAGTGATACAGGATATCAGTTCATTATTAACACAAGTATCGAATGATCAGCAAACATATAGCACAAATATCAAATGACCAGCACACATATAGCACCAGCGCCTTGTAAAAAATGAAAGGAGAGTAAAGGAGCAGACATATACATGAATTAGCCGTCAATCAGAGTAATCCAAGTCTGCAAGTCATCCTTGGCCGATATCAAATTGCACAATTTGGCAGTCACAAAACTAAACGGAACATCCAAATCAAATGCCAGTAGAGACCTTGAGATCTAGTGTAAGCCACATAACATGCATGTTTCCTACATTCTTAAGTCGAATCGAGGCACACAATGTGTTTTGCGCCATAAAACTTTGGTATCCATCCAGAAAACTAAAAGACGCACACATAAATCGAACAGCGTTATTCGATTTGGCACTGCAGCTAGTCCCCTCCCTCCCATTGGGGTTTTATAAGTGGTTTTAGAGGGGTGCCAGATATCTGCAGCGCTCACCGTGAGTGACAACCTACCTGTCCCTGCTAGCAGTGCAGATCAAGGGCTGCATCCTGCTTGCTGCCAATTATCCAACACAAGGCACCAAATCTGCATTTTTTTGGCAACAGCAAGAACAACAATCCATGGCCGGTCGGAACAATCCATCCCAGCACTTCCGTGGCAACCATCCTACTTACTGCATCTGCACTTTATTTCTTTCATTCAGATGATGGTGATTTTGGTCCGCGCTAAAAGCCCCAGCGGAATCTCCGAATCGGGCCACCCTGGGGCAGCGGAGATCGCCGCAGCAGCCCAGAATCTCCCCCTTTTGTTTTGGTGGCCCGAAACCCCCACCCGAAACAAGAAGAATCGGCCGAAACGAGGGGGCCAAAAACCCCATTCCTGCCGCAGGAGCAGACGAGGATCGGCCGCGGAAAGAACACCCAGTAACGATGCGCGCGGGATGATCTGCCGGGGAAGAACCGGCCATCGGAGGGAGGAAAGAGGGAGGAGCAGTAGTGCTACCTTTCTTGCTCTGCCTCCGGGGACGGACGGCGACGGACGGAGACGGAGCCTGCCGTGCGCGCGCGAGGGGATGGGAGAGGAGGCGTGGGGAGGGGGGGAGGTGCGGTGGATGGATAGGGGCGAGCGAGGGAGCAGTGCCGGAGGAGTCGGAGGCGTGATGGTGGTGGGTGCGTCGTGTGATGAAGAGCGGAGCAGAGCAGAGCGCAGAGCAGCGGAAAAGAAGGGGAGGAAAAGCCTGTCTTTTTGCAGGTGCAGCCGAGGGAGGGAGGGAGAGAGCAGGTGAAGGGAAATAATGGGAGAGGAAACCGTAATTTGCGAGTATCCCAGGGGCTTCCGAGGGAGAATGCATGGAGATTTTTGCTGCCACACCTTGTCTTGGTCTGCGGAGCAGGGACCTTGTCACAAAACTTGAGCACAAAATGACCTCCCCACGAAATTATTTCACGAGATGACACTTTTTTGCAACGTCAGAGCCTGTGGCGTTTCTTATCCATATGAAAACGCCAAACCCTCGCGTGTTTCTTCCCTGGCCCACGGTCAAGCCACGCCGGCGTTTCTCACCTACGTGGCACGCTTGAAACGCCAAGCGTCATGCCGTTGCTGCCCTGGATTAAGTAGTTCATGCGGGGCTGTGGGTGGGACCCAGCCAAACCGCAGCCCCGCTCGGTGTCGTCTTCCCCAGTCGCCAGAGACGAACATGCGTTCCTCCCTCCCTCTCTCTCCTTCTTCATCAAATCCCTTCCAAATCGAAGATTCTGCCCATCAAAACTCGTGGATCGGATCATTTCAAAGTTGTTTGAGGTATTCTCCCTTTATTCCTCCAAAAAAAATCAATCAGTTCTTAAAACTTTGACAACGTTATAAAATACTCTCTAAATCCGCTTGCATTTTACACAATGCTAAAACCTTTTCACATACATACACATTTGGAATTCTATCTAAAGTCACAAGCATTTGAATACTTATAATAGTCTTATATATATAAAGTCACGGGTATATCTAACAAAAAAAGACACTTCCATAAACAATGCTAAGTATTTGATCTCTAAATCAATTACTACACATCCCCAACTACATTACCAATGCAGGTGCTTCTCAACCAAACGTATCCCAAAGAATTTAGTCAAACTATTTAGGAACAACCAACTACATTACCAATGCAGGTGCTTCTCAACCAAACATATCCCAAAGAATTTAGTCAAACTATTTAGGAACAAATAATCTTAGGATTCAACACGATTTTTTTTCTATCTCTAAATCCAATACTACACAATAGCAAGTACTTCAACACAACTAGTATATCTTCCATCTAAACGAAACCTAACCCGAACATCTTCATACAAATCACAAAAAACTAATCTTAAGGTTCCACAATGTTCCACCATGGCTCAAACATCTATAACGTATTATGTAGGATGGTTGCGCTGGACAAAATGATACGATGGACCCTTGGCGAAGCATGCGAATGGTACCAATTATTTGGGTTCGGCATTGGAACCATATCTAGTTTCAGATGATGACGCCGATGATTGTGGTGTTGAGAATGAAGAGGACGAGCCAGGGTGGGCTAATATATGCCGGCCACGGAGGAGGATCGCTTCGGCCTCTTTAATGGATGAGTTATCCATCCAGGCCTTTTGTTGACATCAGAGAATGGAATGGGGCTCTACTTACTTGTACATCCGGCCTTCACAACAAGGCCACCTGAAGCCTCCTTGTTGTTAGAAAGCATGTCAATATGGTTTTATTGTGCTGTCTAACATTGTTCCTAATGACTATGTAGGACTCCTAGATGGGATGAATCTTCACAGCTCTCCGCAACACGGCAGAATATTATGGTCGATGTTTGATTTGATTCTGAGAATGGTCAATCAAACCATGCCTTGAATTTTGATTCTGCAGCCAGCTATACACTTGTACATTTTTCAAGAGACAAAGAACCGTATGGAATGAAACTTAAAAGTTAACATCCTTATGCTTATGAAACCAAGAAAGTTTGTTTGATATGCTGAATAGGGGATTTCTTGGATAGCCCTCTAGTGAACAGGAGACAGAGAACATCTTTGTCCAACTATATAGTTTATTACTCTTAGATATGAAACAAATGGACATGACATTCTACTCTTTACTCATCTGGACTAGCATTTTTAGGTCATATTTCTCGAGTGGAGCATTGAATTGAATATTTATCATGTCATCAATAGTCCTTCGGAATTATAGCATAACTCCCATTGTGAATTAGATGTGAAACATAATTTTGTTACTTGTTAGCGAGGTTAAAGTTGATGTCTGGTTCGGTCTTTTAGCCGAGTTCAACCCATGATTTTATTTATCTGGCTTTGGTGCTGACTGGCCGTTTAGATGTGCAGTTACCAGCCTCAATGACATGGTGTAGCAATGCAAATCCATCTTCATGTCGGGGTGATTGCCAGAGTACCATCCCATTTAGATTCATTAATTCACCCCGCACCCCTCAAACGCTCCCCATTTCGGAATAACTTCTCAGTAGATCTTCCTTTGAACTCATACATTTTTTTTCATCCACCCATTTGGGAGTAATTTATGGCCATTGTTGTTGTTGTAAACTGAACTATACCAGTGGCATGCATTCACAAATACCGGATTTTGTATGAGGGGGTATTTGGTAGTTGCATGATCTAAGATATTTCCTGCTCGACCCATTATTCATTGTTTGGTACGGTGCATAAAGTTTAATTAAGTTTTTTTCCCAGGAAAAGTCTTCTAGCTCATTATATTGATTATCAAACAGAGTTACATTGCCCCCGCAAAAAAAAAAGAGCTACATTGTTCAAAAGCAAAGGCAAGAGGAAACTAGGGGGGTCATCTACCCAAAAACAAGCTTCGTTGGAATTTCATCGAAACATTTCGCCCTCTAGCATAGTATGCGTAACTGTCTCTATAATCAGACCGTACGATGATTTTTTTTTTTTTTGAATTCCCAATTGCTCGGCAAACCATAGAACATCCCTTGCGTTTTTTTTTCCTTTTGAGACTTTTTTTAGGTTTGTTTTTTCTTTTGAGATAGAAGATCATCCCTTGCGTAGCTAGTGTGAAGCACGGGCGGGCCGTAGCCCATCCAGAATTCTGAGAAATTTGTCCTTTTATGATGTCATATTTGCAGATTTTGAGGCCCAAAACGGCAACCCAGCGAGGCAGCGGCCCACTCCTCCCATCACTTCCTCTCCCATCGGACGGACAGAGAGGACAGCCGCAGCCAGCGCCGCTCCCCTCCCCTCCCTCGGCCGTCGCCGTCGGCCGCCCGCTCCCCTCCGGCCCTCTCCTTCCCCCCTCCCCCACTCCCATCACGGCGACGCCAGCTAGCCCGCTCCCATCACGGCGCCGGCCGGCCGCACGGTACCCTCCCTCGCCGGTTCGCCTCCAACCCGCTGGGCGTCCGCACTCCACACCATCGCCGCCTGCGACCTGCCTTAGCAAGTTAGCAAGGTACAACTGATCTTCCTGCTACTCTGCTTACCAAATCTGGGAAGAGAAAGATGCATACACTGCTCCTGTTTATATTGCCATTGATATCAATTCATGCTCATGTCAAGTTGTCAACCATGCAATTGAACTTGCATACAGTTGGTGTCAATCTTGCAATGATGCTTCCTGCTTATATATATATACTAAAGTGAGCACATGAACTGTTAACTTCTTTTACTGATCACATTTCCTTTTTTTGTAACCAAATAATGGGCCCGAACTCTCTTCATTAAGAGTAGTTTTGTAATGGGCACAGAATTCTGTCCGTGACTGATTACCAGTTTACCATGCTCTGCATCTAGCACCATCTTTGCTGCTGCTGTTGAGCTTATGCCAGGTGTTGTAATTTAAACTGGAATGCTTAGAAGAACACAAAATACTTTTTGAAGCAGTGATTATTGGATTACTTCGATATCTTAGAGAACATAATTGCTCCTATTTAGTGTGTTAATAGAAAGGTGCTACCCGGTTCAGATTTGTTTTTTTTTTCCTTTCTTTTTTGCTTACCAGTTTGCTCTGAAGCAATGTCGTAAGCACACCTCTCTAGAACTAGAATGGTGGTGGTATTTGCAGCTTAAACTTTCCACAGTTTTCGCTCCCTGAACTATGTGCTTTTACATAAGGTTGCACATTGTGTGACCGCCAACACAACTGCTTCATGATTGAAATCGTTTCATGTCTTCCTGTGTATCTAGGATTTCTGCAATGTGTATACCAATGATTTTGATTATTTAGCATTGCCCTTGCCCTTTGTGGATTCATGCAGCCGTCCTACTTGATGAAATGTCGGCACCAACATCCATTCCCCGTGGTTCCAAGAGTGAGCGAGGCAGCAGGAATGGTGTCGACAGGCTCAGCAGCCTGTCCGATGATCTGCTCCACCTTGTGATGTCCTTCCTGCCGATGCCGGAGGTCGTGCGCACAAGTCTTCTCTCACCAAGATGGTGCAATCTTTGGTGCTCTACACCATTCATCCGCATCGACAGCCAAGATTTCGTGGATAAACGGAAGCTGGAGAATTTCGGGGACTGCTTGCTGCTCTTGCGTGACTGTACCACTTCCTTGGATGAAGCCCGAATCTCTGCCCAATGGGTTAATGATACCAAATGTTCCGTGTGGATTCGTCATGCCATCATGCACAAAGTTCGTCTCCTTCATATTTCTGGATCTCTCAGTTTGGATAGGACAGTAATCTTTCCTTCTCCGCACCTCAAAACAATCAGGCTCCATTCTGTCATGTTCAAACATGGGTTATTTAGGCCGCTGAACTACGACTGCCCTGTGCTTGAACATCTAGAGCTGGAGTGGTGTGGTTTCTGTGACCGTGAGGAGATCTCATCGAGGTCACTCAAGGTTCTGCATATCAGTGACTGCCAGCCTACCTCCGGTCTCCTGATTTGTGCTAGGAACCTTACCCATCTCTCTATCCTTGACACAGAAATTGGTGGTATAGTAACCAGGGATCTGTCTTGTCTGGTAACAGCTTTGATTAGTCTAATACCCAAATATTTTCATCATAAGTACGCAGTATTGGATCATCATGTACATCTACTTGATGGCCTTTCACATGCCACGACGTTGGAGCTGCATGCGCCATTACATGAGGTAAGAATGGGTTCTTTTCTGTTTCTTACCCATATGATGAAACATGCCCAATGTTGCTATTAGTCTAAGAATGTTTGCTTTCATGTCTGATGGATGAATTTGAAGCGCACATTTGAGGGAGCTATGCAAACATGCCCAATGTTCAGCAACCTGACAAGCTTGGTGCTGGGCGATTGGTGCATGACCGCTGACTTGTACCCACTGCACCGGATTCTCCGGTGCTCGGACAAGCTGAAGGAGCTCACTTTGAAGCTTGGTACTTACTCAGAAGCATGTATGTCCAAGTACCAATTGGTCTGCTACAACTCTTACTGACACCACTACCACCTTGATGTTGATATTCTGCAGGATGAATGCACCACATGCAAACTCTTGCTGCCAATAAGGAGAGCGCCGCCGTCGGGCCCAGGCAGCTACCCTTGCATCGAGAGGATCAAAATCTACTGCCCGGAAGATCATCCGAGGGTCGATGAGTTGGTGCAGGCGTTGGCACCCACTGCCTGCAATGCCAAGATCAGCATCGAGTGGCAAAGTTGATTTGTTGTTGAGACAAGAGTGTTTTGGAGACGCCGACGTTCCCTGGTCCATGCGTGTGATGGTTGTTGGATCCAAACTGCTTCGTCAATGGAAGCTGGTTGATGGATTCTGGTGGGTATTCAGTCTGGCTAGTTTCCCCAGCTTTCCCGTGCTTGAACAATTAGACCTGGAGCATTGCCTTGCCTGCACAACGGCTGAGAAAATCTTTTCGAATGGAATGTGAGCTTCTGAATTATTAGCAAATTCACGCTTCCCTGGTTATATTACCTATCAGGTTCCAGTCTTCCACAAAACAAACTAGCCAGCTTTTGACTAACAATGATTCAACTTTCATGTGCTGGGCAAAAAAAGAATGAGCAGTTGGATTCTTTAAAAATCAATATGGGCTTTCACCTTGTGCAATAAAGAATTCTCTTGTGCTTTCAGAAAATGGCGATTTTCGCTAGTACATTATTGATCACGGATGTATGGGTCAGTTTTATACCTTAACAGTTGCAAACATCTAAGTAGATGGTTTGTTTCTTTGAAAAAGCGTCTTCACAGATTTGCTGACACGTGCAAGGCCTCATTTTGAATCTAACTATCCAGTGTTAGCTAAGCCTCCTGTCCTATGCCAATGCATGCCAACTTTTTGAAAATGTAGAAAGATTCTATCACCCATGATTACAAATTCATGGCAACAAATTAATCGTAGAAATACTAAATTAAGAATAGTATAAACATCATTAAAAACTAATAAAAAATCTTGAAAAAAATAAATGGTTAAAAAAGAAAAGAAAATGAGAATCGTTAGCTGCATGAAAACAGAGTTCTACTTCAACCAGCTCTGCCGTCGAAATAAGACCACCTGCAGAACAATTCACAAGACACATTGTTCAAGATATGAACTCCAGAGAGCTGAATCGGCAATGCAAACACCAACACATGGAAGAAAAACTAGTGAAAACTCAATTTGAAAAATAAGAGTTGCGGTACCAGACTGTAAAACATAATCACTATTTTAATTAAAATGAAGAATAGAAGACATGATTTCTGTTCAAACATAATCACTACAAACAACCATGCAGGTTAATTAACAATACGATTGCGCTGACAATTAATTGTCCTCGTTTTACCAGCCAGCTCACCTAACTACCAAAGTCTACTACTACTAGTTAAATACTTAGCTAAACCAGATGATGTTAATTAGCACATGGGTGTTTCCTTCTTCCAGAAGTAATATAAGAGGTCCACTGATGGTGCTAGACAATCGAACGCCTTTTCTGGCTGCCTCCTGACTGTGCCAGATGGACCTTGGAGCAAGGCTGGGAAGGTTTTGTTGCGGTGGCGGCATCTTTCTTCTTGGGGATGGAATGGGGCTCGAAGCCGGGCGGGCCAGCCCAAGGTACTGCTGACGGCGGCGGCTGAGGGGGAGAGACCGCCGCATGCGCATGAGAGGGCTCGAAGCCAGGCGGACCGGCCCAGCCTGCTGAAGGTTGTTGCTGCTGCTGAGAACTAGTGTCGGCGACATGGCTTGACAAGTGTTGCTGCTGAGAACTAGTGTCGGCGACATGGCTTGACAAGTGTTGCTGCTGAGAACTAGTGTCGGCGAGATGGGTTGAGGACACAGGAGACCATTCCATGTCAGGAGCAAATGATGAACTGGCTGACAGAGATTCAGGCGGCTGAGATGTTTGAGAAGCAGCGTCGGTTCCCTGGCCCTGGTTCTCTGCGGTGTATGCTACTGATTCGGCAGCACAATGGTATGGCCAACACGACGATGTTGGTACTCCAATCGCCGTCATTGAGGGATCAGGGACTGTGAACTGGGAGTAGAGATGCGCCATGTAGCCGCCCATAGCGCTTTGATGGACACCGGCTATCCTGACCTCCAAGATGTGCCCCTCCAGCCAGTAACCGTTCATGTAAGTGAGGGCCACGGCAGAAGCATAAGTATCAACAAATTTGACAAACCCATATCCCTTGCACACACCAGTGCATAGGTCAACAACTGCCTTGGCTTGAGTTATTTGGCCGCATGGCAGAAAGAGTTCTATCAGCTTTTCAGTGGTGACGTAGGGCGGGAGATGGCAGACATATAGGTTGGTCATGTCGATTTGTTTCTGCGGCCCGTTGGCAGGCCGCGGTTGTTGCAGTTGTGGTGTCGGGGCAGCATTTGTGGCAGCAGCGGTGAAGTCCATGGGATTTGTTGCAGCAGCAATGATATTGGCAGGCCTCTGTTGCAGTTGCAGTGTTAGAGGAGCGTTTGCTGCAGCGTTGAAATCGACGGGGTTAGGAAGGCCTGACACTCTCACAGCCAGGGTACTTCCTCCAATTAGGTAACCATCCATATGATCAATTGCAGCAGCGGCAGACGAAGGGTTTTGGTACCTAACCATGCCATACCCACGAAACATCCGAGATTGCACGATTTGCCCGTATGGCCGGAAAAGCTCAACCAGCTGATCGCCGGTCATCGTCGGTGGGATGCCGGCAACACACAAGTTGGCCATATCAATTTCTCTCATGGGCTTGGCAGCTGACTGTGAGGAAGCATGCTCTGCTCCATCGGTTGGACAAGAGGAGTCTGATCGCCTGACCACTAGCCTCTTTCCACCAATTAGATACCCATCCATACGTTCAACAGCCTTGATCGCTGAGGCTACATCTGCATAGAACACTAGGCTATACTCCAGATTGACCATGACTTTGCTGATCTGACCAAAGGGCACGAAAAGTTGAACCAGCTTATCGGCGTTCACGGTCCGCGGAAGGTTAGTGACGTACAGTCTTGATTTGTTGATTTCTGGAGAGGCAATTGGCGAGCCTTGTACAGCTGAGCTGGATGCTGATGATGAAAGGCCTGCAACTCTGACAATTAATGTCTCCCCTTCAACCAGTGATCCATTCATCAGTGCGATAGCCTCGGCAGCACACTGAGAATCGGCAAACTTGACGAAGCCATATCCTTGGTCTGCTGCCACTCTAGCTTGGGTGATCTTACCAAATGGCGAGAAAAGCTCAACCAGCTTATTTGTGTCAATGGATACAGGAATGTTGCAGACATATAGATTGGCCATGTCGATTTCCTTGATGGGTCTGGGTGGAGAGGGGTCATACGCCCGGACGTCCATCTTTTTACCCTCAACCAGAAATCCATTCAAATGGATGATGGCCTGAGCTGCATGATGAGAATCAGAGTACTTCACAAAGCCATATCCTTTGCTTAAACCTGTGGTGTGATCCCTGGGCATCCTTATATCAGTTACTTTCCCGAAAGGCAGAAAATACTCGAGTAGCTTCAGCGTGTCCATGGCTGAGGGGAGGTTGCAGACATACAAGTAGCTCGGGTCGATTTCTTTCGAGGGCAGACTGCATGTTTCTGACACGGACTGCATTGATGGATTGGATACTGATGGTGGAGCTGGAACTGCAGCTACTCTAACCTCTAATGTTTTCCCATCAACCAGGCGCCCATTCATGCGTTCAATAGCTGCTGTGGCACTACGAGGTTCAGCATACTTCACAAAGCCATATCCCTGGCTTACACCAGTGAAACGATCATCCGCCACTTTTGATCGAACGATTCGTCCGAAAGGTAGAAATAACTCGATAAGCTTGTGAGAAGTCACAGAAGCTGGCAGGTTACCCACATACAGGTTAGTGTCATCCACTTCTTTCAGCTTGACACCTTCATGAGGTAAAGAAACTGTGTGTTCTTGCCTCTTACACAAGCGGCTGTCCAGGTCATCAAACTGAGCTTTCCTTTTCTCCAACTTGGCATCACCAAAACTTTCAGCACTGTATGTGTAACAAGACACATCAGTAGCAAACCTGACAGACAATCGTTTCTTGAACGGCTTCAATTCAATTTCATCATTCACTGGTACTGCCTTGTGCTCATGGCTGCTGCCCTTTCCTAGTGCCTGTTTTAGGACCTTTTCCTTATTTTGTTCCTTCTTGATAGCCTGAACAGGACTGGACTTCTTCTTCACAAAGTTTTCCGCATGAGCCACCTTAACATCACATGGCTCCACTTCACAGAGCTGATCCGTGAAAGGTTCCGCATAATATGAGTCCTGCTCGCCACTGTCTTCTTCCTCATAACAGAGTTCATCAACAAAAGGTTCATCGTAACTGGAATCCTCATCTTCAAGTGGGGTGACGCCATTGCAAGGTTCGTCTCCATTAGCCTCCTCTTCTTCTGCCACAGGATCTTCACAAGGATCCACAGCTTGTGTGTCTGGCTCACCCACATTGTCTTCGTCGTCATCATCATCATCGTAGAATTCACGTTCAAATGGTTCTTCTTCTTCGCTGCTTTCTTCATATTCAGCAGCAACAGCATTCATTCCATCACTGCCATCCTCCTGAAGCTGGTCAGCCAGGTCACTTTTGCACCCCATTCTTGCACCAGCAACTGGTTCACAGAGGAGAAGATTATTTAGCAAAAACAATACAGGACATCGGTTCTTAACACAATAATGGAATGACCAGCAAACATATAGCAGAAGAATCGAATGATCAGCACACACACTACAGCATCTGCTTGTTGTAAAAAAAAAAAGACAAATGTGCTCCCGTATAAACCTTGCAATCTAGCGTAAGCTGCACGATATGTATCCTACACTCTTAATCCGGATCGAGTCACACAATCTGCTGCCTACAGTAACCAGTAAATCTCAGCCTACAGTAACCAGTAATCCACATGACCCACACCAAGTTGCGCAATTCGATAGTCACGAAACCAAAGGAACACATGCAAACAAGTGGCACTCCTGTTTTACCACAACCGCGACTCTGCAGGAGACCTCAGAAAGTGTGGAGCACCCACTTTCTCCCATGCTGGTCTTGTTCAATTTGGTGCTGAAACTAGTTCGCTTCCCTTGTGGAGCTGCATTGTACTTGCCAGTTTTCTACACTCAAGCGTAAGCCGCACAACGCGCATGCTGCCTACGCTCTTAGCCCTCATCGAGCCGCGCAATGTGTTTGCGTGCACTACAATAGTAGTAGTCCCTTGGCACTATAATAGTAGCACAGTTTGGCAGTCACAAACAAAACTGAAATGAACACACATAAATCACTTCCCCAAATGGCGGTAGAGACGTTGAGATCTAGCTAGTGTAAGCCGCACAACATGCATGTGTTTCCCTTCATACACTGTTAAGCCGAATCGAGCCAGATGATGTGTTGCATATATCTGCAGCAGCACTGTGTCTGTGAGTGACACCGCCCCCTGCTACTAGTGCAGATCAAAATGTGCATCCTACTCTACTTACTAGTACCAGAAGTATGCACCCCAGGGCACCGAATCTGCAGTTCTTTTTCAACAGCAGCAGCAGCAGCAACCCATGGCCAGATGGAATCTGCACTTCATAGTATCTTTCAATCAGTCAGATGATGTTGATTTTGGTGGGTGCTAAAAACCCCGAGCAGAATCTCCAAACCGGACCGCTGTGGAGCGGCGGAAAGCGCAGGAGCACAAAATCTGGCCCTTTTGTGGCCCGAGACCCCCGCCCAAAATAAGAAGGACCGGCCGAAAACCCCATTCCTGCCTGCCACTGCCCGTAGCGCGCCGCTAGCAGGAGGAGCGGCCGCGGAAAGAACAGACGACAGGGCGGGGTAATCTGCCGGGGATGAAGCGGCCGTCGGAGGGGAGAGAGGGGGGGAAGCAGTGGCGCTACCTTCGCCTGGTGCCTCCGGCGACGGACGGACGGACGGACGGACGGACGGAGGCTGCCGTGCGCGGAGGTGGTGGGGGGCGAGCCCGGAGGAGTAGGAGGCGTGATGGTGGTGGGTGGGCGTGTGGTGTGATGAGGCGCGGAGCAGAGCAGAGCAGCGCAGCGGAAAAAGGAGGGAGGGAGGGGGCAGGTGAGGGACAATAAAGATGGGAGGAAATTGCGGGGAGGCCCCTGGCCGAGGCAGGGGGAGTGGGGAATGGTGATTTGCGGGCGTCCCAGGGGCTTCCGGGGCATTTTTGCTGCCGCGACGTGTCTTGCTGTGCGGACTGCGGAGGAGGGAGGGTCCGACGCAGCTTCTCCGACCCGACCCGACCGAGGGGGGCCTGGCGCTGGAACGAACGTGTGCGTGTGCCTATGCGTGTTCCTCGCCGCGCGTGAGTGGGACAGCGACAAAGAGTGTGTGTGGCCAACTCCAAACCCCGTTTTGTTTTGGGTTCTGTCCGTTTGGGTCGGGTCGGTAAAACAGATGACCATGTCTGATTCGGGCCGTCCGTCGGCTAGTGCACCCATCACACAGCCGCATCCCAAACACCATAAAAAAATAACCCTCCAAAAAGGCATTGCAACTTGAAAAACAAGAATGGCATTGCAAAATAGCTTCAAACAAATTACTCTATATAACAAACTTAATTAAACGGACCACGATAGTCATGGCCCGCACATAGTACTTAAGTCGATTTTTTTAAAAAATATATATTTAAAACAATACATCTGTCGCCCGAGCGCCGCAGATGCCGTCGCCGTCTTCGGGCACCACGGTCCTCTTTGCGACCGTCCTTGGTCAGGTCAATGTAGGGAGGCGGCGTCCAGAGGTGGAGCGGCAACCACCCAAAATGGGTCGGCGTCCTGTGCAGGCTGCGGTGGTGTAGGTCATGGTACTGGTGACCACGGCGCCCACGCCGCCGGCGGTGCTGACGGCGGCAGCAACGGCGGGTTGCATGGCATCGTGTTCGTGGACCACGACTGCCCGTACAGCGCCTGGTTCCACACCGGGGTGACGGCTGGTTCTCCATGGCCTCCTCCTTCACGTCCTGCTCTGGCACGTAGACGTCCCCAGCGGCCGAGAGCGCCAACATCTCCTCTAGACCCACCAACTATGCCTCCTGGCTCTGCTTGAACTCCCTCTCGGAGTCCTTAATGATGACCCGCACCAGCCGCTCCTCCTCCTCGACCGTCATGAAGGGAAGGGAGAGGGCGTCGGCGTGAGGTTGCGCACACGAGTCCGCCCGCGCACTCTGGGTGGGCTCGGCGCGCGCACACGTGACGCGCGAGATGTCGTAGCGCCGATTGGCGAGATACTGGCGCGGGATGCGAGCGAGCCG